TGAATTCATAGTATTTGCATTACCTTGATTATCTGAATTTTACAGATACTTGAGAACTCATCTCTCATTAACAATGAGATTGCAGAAATGCACTGCAGTGTGAGAATCATTGATAGAGAATCTAGACATATTCACATATGCCTGGTCAGAGATTGTATGAACAGAGAGAGAGTGATTGTAGGTCTGCAGAGCTGCAGAAGACACTGACAACACTGAGAGCTTTACAAGAACTGTTAGCTAGAATCTGTAAGAAATTACTTATGAGAAGACTTACAGCAAAGAGAGAGACTGCACTGCTTGAAGTCAGGAACTGATCTGAGAGAGACAGAGAATTGATCACTGATCTGAAGATTGAGTGCAGTGACAGAGCTGAGAGAGATGAAGATGCAGTCATGAGCAGCAACACCCCTGCTTCATCAGCTGGTAAAAAGTGATCAGAGAAGTTATGAAAATGCTTATAAGAAGCTCAGCAGCAATCAGACATTGTTTATAAAGAGATTGAAATTAAAAAAATTTTTATTCTTGAGAAGTTCTTGAATTAATATATGAATATTGTTAGAAATACTCTCTCTCTGTCATTTGAATGAAAACACTTTGTGAATGAATAAGAATACTCACAGTTTATGAGAATGAGAGCTGTTATAGAAAAAGAGAAAAGAAGATGAGATTTCACAGACAGATCTGAGATATTTATACTACTTTAGAGAGATTTACTTACACTATGAGTAATTTCACAGAATAGTCAGATCACTCTAGTAAATAAGAGTGATTATGAATCACAGATCTGAATCTTTCTATGTGACTATAAAGAGTGATTGCAGACTGTGAATATCTTAATTTCACAATTCTACAGAGTTGATAAAAGAATGAAAAATTTCTCACAATTCTACAGTGTCAAAGAACAATGATTTATAAGAATGAGTGAAAGATTAACTTATAAATATTTCTCTTTGATAAGAGTGATCTCACAGAGAGTGATTCATCTGTGAGATGAATCTGTGTGATGATTATACAAGAATCTCATGAAAATGATTAAGAGTCAACTGAAACTCTTCTATATGAAAGATGTGAGATGAATCTATATAATAGTCAGAGAAGAATCTGTAGACTATAAAGAATCTCACAGAATAAGAAACTGAGTGACAGACTCTTTTCTCTTCACAGTAACAAGGGATTTTTCCTCACTGAGGTTTTTTATAGATGTAAAGAGTTTTTAGTGAGTATCACTACAGTGCTGAGCTGACTATGAAGTCACTCAGTGAAAGGCTTCACAGATGAAGTCTTAGAGAGAGAGAAGTATGTAAGAAATCTCACTTCTTACAGATTCTTTATCTCTATTTCTATCTCTTATATAATCAATAGAGCTAGCGGCTCTTGACTACACACAACTATATAAACTGAAGTTCACAAATACTATTTATAACTCAGCTTGAATACTATTATACATTTAATCTCTATATTTTATCTTTCTACTGTGAACACTTCTAGTAGTTAACAGTACATATCATGCCAAGCTGCAAACACTCGAATAATCGCCTGCGAGTACTTATTCTTACATAATTCTGAAAGTTCAAGAAGCTGTTCACTATACTCTGCAGACTGTACAAAGATTACTATTCTTGAATTCATTATTTAGTCTCTTTGAAATAATTGCAATGAAGAATGAGATAAAATATATCTTAATTATTCAAGTTCTTGATTAACTTAATATTTATATAAATATAATATTTGAATTGAGTTCTGATCTGTCAGTATATGAGAGTCAAGATCAGTATTTTCTTCACTGAGTCATGAGAACTAAAACTGAGATGATTGAGATATGACTATATTATAAATCTTCACTAATTTAAGCTGAGTTGAAAATTGCAGTATATGAATAAGATCTTTTGAAAAGTATATTTTACTCTGATATACAAGTTATTTCTCTGTCATATTAATTATTTATTAATGAATTTAACTTATATCAGAATATATACTGAAGCTTGATAAGTTTTTATTTGATTTCTACACTGAGCACTGTTAAGTGCTCAAAGTAAAATAATATTTTTATTCTAATTTTTGATTCTTATAATATTAATTTTTCTGATATAGTTACTGCATTATCATATGACTTATCTACATTGAATTGTGAGAGAGTTATAATAAATATTAATAAAAAAAAGATAAGAGTAGTTACATCTTATATTGTATTTCTTGAAGATATGCTGCAGTAAAATAGTAATACAGAGATTAAAGAATTAATAGTAAGAAGATTATACTGAAGCTGCTTTATTAATGATAAGAATTAACTGAATCTGAACTATAATCTATGTAATAACAGCTGATTTCACTATTATATACAATATCTTCAGACTAAACTAAATAATCTGCTGAATTTCACATACAGAGATTAAATATATCAAGAGTAAGAAATAATATCACAGACTGTATTTCTTTTTCAGATATATTCAAGTTTGAATTTAATTTCTTTTTTCTCATCTGATTCATATCATAGTAAGTTTACTGATATATCAGAGATTTCATACTTATTACTAATCAGTACTGTCTTATCACTGTATAATTAACTAGAATATTTTCAAATATTATAGATATTTTCTTTTTCTTATAATTGAAATTATCTGCAGTTACTGATCACTCATCTCAAGAAGTATCAGCTTCAAGAACATGCTTGAGCTTCAATTATTATATCTCTTATCTTGTGATGTGAGCTTAAGAAGAAATGACTTAGTTCAGTGATTAAGCAGATTATTTCTGCAGTATTTTCAGCATCAAATCAATTATCTATTAATCTTATTATTCAGATATATACAGTCATTGTAAGAAGTAATAGTCTATTAATGTCTCAATTTCTGAGAGAAAATAATTCTGAAGTAACTTATTAAATCATACTTACAGTCTGCTGATAGCTATAATTTCTTATTAAAGCTGTGATAAGAGTAGTAGTGATATTTAAATCATTCTGAGCTAATTCAATTATTAGTTATCAGTTATTCTCTGCTTTAACAATGAGCACAGTTACTATACATATCAGTGATTATATTAAAAAAGCAAAGCTTATATAATATATAAAGAATCAGCTGAATATGTATATTAATTTACACTATATTAAGCTGATTAAAGAATACACTGTATCTAACAACTGCAATATTTTGACAGAGAAGAACAAGTATTAAGACTATAAGAATCTAGTGCAGTAAATAAATTATTAAGATATAAAGAAAACACTACTCTTATAGAAGAGCTTTTATTATATCTTATAACTAATATTAAGAGATTCTTTTAACAGATCTGACTTATATCTGATACAGAAGATTCAACAGCTATATACAGTTTATTCAGCACTGTTTAATAATCTGCTGAGAATGAATGAAGAATCAGATAATAATGATAATTCACTGAACTACTCTATTAAGTTAGAGTCAATAAAAAATCATATTACTCTGAAGATTTTTAATCATCTATTATTAAACAAGATATTAGAGAAAGTTAATATATAATTTATAAATCTCTCAAAGCTTAAACTTCTTCATCTCTTTCTTAATAAGCTGTGAGAATTCTATAATACTGATTGAAATAAGCTCTCAGTTTTGAAACTAGATCACTATTCAATTCTTTTCTATAATAAGTTAATATTCTCAGTTCAGTATATCTATCAATTAATCAGTTATTAACTTATTACTAACTTATAAATCAGGGATTGTATTCACTGAATCTCTCTTATGAAAGAGAATATTATTCAATATTAAGAGACAGAGCTTAGTCAGATTATAACTATATTTATTTATAAAATAAGAGAAGTTAAGTGAATTTTCTTTATACTTATTTCTCTATATTATGTCATGTATAATCATCTACTGAATCTGCTAATTTTATAAGAGAATTCTGATAATTACACTATTATTGAACTGCTGGTAGTTTGAAAGACAGCATTGTATAACATTTCAATACAGAATAGTGATAAAAATAATGATTATTTAATATATAAGTCTCAGATAATAAGATATTTGTATTACAATTAAGATATTTTATTTCTTTAGATAGAATAGATAGTTGATGAATAGCAGTTATTGTACTGAGTAATAGATAACTAACTAGCTTAATAGTATTGATTTTACTGACAGAACAGTATACAGTGTCTTGTAGTATCTTAGTAGTATTCTGATAATGATATCTGTCAATTACACAGTTACTGAGTAGTGTTATAATGATGTTAAAAAGTTCTGTATCATCTCAATACTATCTTGACATTTAATATTCAGTAATGTGTCACTGAATATAATGGTGGAACATGTGTTACAATCAGCGACACGTGACACAGGTGGAATGGTAGATCCACGGTGTAATCACTGTAAATTAACCCTACGTTCTTCCGGTATGGCTCTAACATGCTGCCTCATGACTTCTTCAAATGTCAACATCAATGTTCTTTAAGAACCTTTCATATATAGTGTCCCTGTTACTTGAATGCATTCAGATGTGAATAATCATATATATAAAAGAGACTTAGCATTTAGAACCAAGCAGTTGAATATATAAAAGTCTTTCAAATTTCTCCTTTATTATTGCCTCCAATGAGACCTTTTTTTATTCAGCTATAACTGCATCAGAAAAGAAACTGAAGTTGAGGCAAGAATACTTATTTCTCTTCTCTTAAGAGTGCAGAGAGTGACACTGCCTCAGAGGAGAATTTTCAAACTACACTAGATAATAAAGAGATATAAACAAGGGACACACAATCAATGCTTGAGTGAATGATTAAAATACACAAACTCATGCAAGTAGACTGATGAGGGAATAACCAAGGAATAAAATGAATGACTGAGCACTAAGCCCCCTGACCCCTAGCATCCAGATATCCACTCGGCGATATATCAAAGTTCTCCATGTAGGCCTGCCGCAAGAATCCCAGCCCCTCAAGCCATATTCAAGCATCAGCACCCCACCCATCAAGTGCACACAGATGATTTGCCATGACGCCTCAGGGATGAACAATCGCTACACTATTTCAGTTTCATAAGACCAAAGGCGTGATCATTGATTCTCCAAAATGCGGCCAGGTAGCCGTCCGCATCGCCGGGTGAGATAGCATCCTTCTCGCAAGTAATCTTTCTCCAACCAGCGTCCAAATTATATTTTTCGAACCTAGCTACCTCCACGCCGACCTAGATAGCAAGGCCTAGGGGCACCACCCATGTTACCTTACCGGTGTGGAGGACAGGGATTCCAGTTTTGTAGGAAGACTCGGCCCAGGGGTAGTTCGGGCGGAATGCGGGCCCCATATGCAAATTCGTAAGGTGATGATGGCCTCGTTCTGGTCAGTTAGGAAGTCGCTGCAGAATATAACGCTGTCTCCTGCTTGTTTGTTTGAGTCCATACCTTTTCATTACCCGAGGAGGGAGAGGAGAACACTATCGCCATTGTCTGGCGTCGGTACCTTACAGCTGACTCCGTCACAGGTGACAACTCGTTTAAACGCCATCGTTGATCTCAAAGTGTTTGTGCAGAAGGCGGATGTCATCATGGCTGTGTAAACCGCTGGCAACGAGAAGATTGGCGAGTTCATCAAGGGCTACTGCGGTTGTCCTTGAGTTGCTCAGTCGTAACATCTTCTACCCCCCGCAAGGCATTATATCGTACAGCGTGGCGAGACATCCCCCGTATTTCTTGCTTGGTTTAGTGAAAGGAGAAGAAATAGTAAGATCGTTTAAAACCAGATCTAGAAACATTCAATGTGGAGCTTGAGAAGTGTATGATTCAGCGAGAGGGGAGAAAGAAGCCCTTCTTATATGCCTCAAGCTATAAGGTGTAATTCCAGCTTTTCCCCTAAAGCTTACAATTCCGCCATCCGTCGCCAGCATTGAGCTGGTGGGGGGAGAGACCAGACTAAGGCTCTGCGAAAGCACCACGATAGGATTCAAGTTCCTAGATGCTTCTCTGATCCTCAGAAATGTCGACCTATATCGACCATGCAAGTTAACGAAATTGGAATATGGGGAGAGCAAATCCTCCCCAGTGAGATAGTGATGCATGCTGCATCTAATGCAATGGGCCAAGGTATATTGGCAAGGCTCCACGACGAGAATCAAAGTAATTGTATAGTTAGTTGTGCCATTGTTGATTGAACACACCCGCATAGACTGTATGGCAACTGATCACCATGATCAGTGATGGAGGTTAAGGCTGGGGTGGGGGAGAGCCTGAACAGCGCCGGGTTAGGTTATGTAAGCATGTATATTTATTGTAGGATAGTTGAAGGTTGTATTGATAGATCTATCTACAGGAACATAATATAGTGGTGGGTCACGTGATCTAGTGGGATCGCTAACCGCAACAGCCGTAAGGGCCAACACCCCCCCTCGAGATAACAAGAATCACATACAAAAAAAACACCCAAATCACCAAGATAGTCTGTCAAAATCAAATACAAATGTAAAATTAAACATTTCCAACTTTTATACCTGTAAGATCTAGTAAAATCATGAATTATATAAATATCATATTATCTAGAGATTTAATAAGTTCATTCACTGCTATCTGAGTGATGAGAATATACTCTAAATTAATAACTCTCTGATTCAACTGTTAACATGAAAAATGAAAACATGTGTTAATATACTTACTTCAGACTGTAATAACTGTTATCTTTATAAGATCTATAATACTTTTATTATCAGTGAGAATCTGTATCAGAGATGTAGTAATAAAGTCAAGCTCAATTATAAGATTCTGAATTTATATTATCTCACAGACTGTCTCACTAAGAGTCATATATTCAGTCTTATTAAAACTTAGAGATATACAAGATTACTTCACTGAATATCATGAAATCAGATTATCTGTAAGCTTAAAAATATAGTCAGATATTGATTTTCTATTATTATTCAAGAAGTCAGCTCAATCAGAATTCAAGTAGTTAAAGAGTAGATAGAAATTATCAGAAAAATCAGAGATAATAGAGAGATTAGTAGAAACAGTAGAAGTAGAAGAAATAAAAGAAACAGATTTCTTATACAGACTGTATCTATAGAAAATACTCAGATTCATAATCTCTTTTAAATAATATATAATATATAATAGAGTCTTTTAATATTAAGATATTGAATTAACATTCTGTTAAGTAAGTAGTGAGATAGTATAAGTAATATCAGAATGTGTTTTAACTGTAAGATATTGTAAGTAACTTACATTATATTAATATTACTGAATTATGAAATCAGTCTCTTTCTCAGATATAGAGAAATTATTAATATAGAATTTATTCTTTATCAGTATTCTAATAATAACTATATTATCAAGATAGAAATCTTTAATAAGATATTTAATATATTAATAATATATTAAATCAATTCTCTTATTTAAATAATTGATCTTTATACTTAAATACTTAGTTAACTGATGTAGATTCTTGACTTTTAATTTCTCACTAAGTATACTCACTAGTTAATCAGCATTCTCAGAAGCTTTAAATATAATATTAAGATTATTAATATAGATTATTATATAGAGATAATATCTGAATGTATAATATCAGAGTATCAGATTATAAGTGTTAACTATAAATTCAAAATTACTTAATAGAGCTGTTAAGTAATTATATCAGATCTTCACTACAGAGTTCAGACTGTATAGACTATTCTTAACTATGTAAATAAGTGTTTTCAGTAAATCTGTCTTAAATTCAGTGAATTATCTTATATAGATCTTCTTAGTGAGATATTTATGAAGATATATTATCACTATATTCACTTAATAGAGTATTCAACTGTGTAGTACTGCTATTATAAAAAGAATATAATTAACAGTATCAGTGATAACAGAAGCATAGATCTCTTCTCTAGAATTCTTCTTAAACTAGTTATTATAAATTATTCAATATGATTTTCTAAGAATATTATCAGAATCAGTATTTGAATTCACAGATCTATCTTTCTTAAGAAATACTTAATAGTCTGAAGTAATCAGTTTATCTCTTAAGATATCAGATCTAGAGATTAAACTTTATATATTATATCTCTTCAGATTAGTAATCTTACATTGTATAAACTTCTTTCAATAATCTTCTATTCTCTCTGACTGAGATGTAACATTCTTATAGAACTTCAGAAGATTGTCTGTAATAAAACTTAAAGTATAAGTAGTCAGTAATTTCACAGATTATAATTATGTAAAATTCAGATTATTAATATTGAAAGCATCTTTATTATCAATCAGATAAATATCAGACTTCAGTTTAATAATATAATTAATAAGTTTTATAGATATAACAATCAGTTTTTCAGTGATCAGAAATCTCACATTACTACTGATAATAATCTTATCAGATTTAAGATATTATAGATGATATATCAATGTGTCACTGAATTCAATAATATAATAGAAATCAGTATATGAAAAAAGCTTATTTATAAGCTGCTGAGATTCATGTAAGTGAATAAAAATCTCTGCACTTAATCAGTGAAAATATCTCACATTCAGCAGAGTATTTATAAGTGCATATTAAGAAATCTTATATGAACTTGAAATTACAGAGATCTCTGCAGTAGAGAATCAAAATTTCAAGTTGTAAAGAACTGTAAATGTAAGAGTATTATTAATTATTACAATCACTGTCTCTAGAATATTTACTCAGAACTTCTTAGAAAGATTATCTTTTAAAAGAGCAGCTCTAACTTATCTTATAATAGTATAGATCTCATATTTAAAAACATCATTCAGATGTGATGAATGTGATACTATTAATTCTCATTTGATATCATATAAATTCATAATTATATGTATATATGTGAATCAGAAAACATCATCAATATCAGTCTGTAGAAAAGTAGAAACTGTATATTTAAGATTACTTATAAATCTGAGTCATAACTCAAAGTATTGAACAGTCTCATTCTTGAACTTTAAAAAATATACTCAATAGTAGCAGATCACATCACAGATAATAAGTATTCAGTATTTAATTCTCTGACAGAACTCTAAGAGATAATTAAAGAGATCTTTTAATATACATTCATTATCTACAAGATTAATATAAATCTTCTCAATAAGTTGAATAGATCTAGACATCAGTGTTTTCAAATAATCTTATATTATACCTGTTTTGATACATTTCTTATAAAAGAACTTAGTCTTAGAATCTTTAATTATAACTTCAGTATAAGAATTCTTGATCATAGTAATTATAGCATCAGCATGAATATAACTGAGATTACAGTGTCAGTTTAAAAGAGTCTTTGATATTCTTGTATTCTTGAGACCTGTATTCAGAACTGTAGAATCAATGTTATTAACAGTAGTAATAGCAGTCACAGAAAGATCAACTTTTCAATTAAAATTATACTCATATAACATTGTAATATACTTAACTGTCTTGTTCAGATAATTAAGATTCTTATTGAACTCTCACTTATTAATTTTATATATGTTATTCTGAGTGATCTGAACTGTATGAAAAATAACACTGTTCAGAGCTCTATAAATGAAAAATAAGAAAATAGTGAAAGATAATATAAATTGAAATCTCTGATCTTTAAGCTTTGTAAATGAGAGCAGATTAACTGTAATATTAGAAATATAGTGAACATTCTGTAAGTTAATATCATCATTCTCAATCTTCAAGATAACAGTCTTAATCTTCTTAATAAACTTAGTTCTCTCAGTTGCAGAATCAACAGAGATATTATTATTAAAAGATTTAATATTTGAAAAAGAATAAAGCTCACTCATTATATTCAAACTTACACATGTGTTCAAACATCAAGATCTAGAGAATGATCTTTCAGTGACTGTGAAAGAGAAATAGAACTCAATCTTTATAATTACTGTATTAGCTGCTGATTGAAAACTTATTAAGTCATTCTTCTTTTCTTTCTTCTTATCATTCTTCTTTTTCTTTTTATCAGAGTGTAAGATGAAATATCTGTTAATAGTATGTTTATATCTTCTATAGTGAGTGTACTTTTATACAGATATACTTTTATTCTTATCTTTATTCTTATCTTTATTCTTATCTTTATTCTTTTTCACAGTCACAGAATCAGTCTGAGACTGCTTTTTTCACTCAGTAATAATCTTCTTAAATATATAATTAATCAGTTACTTCATTAAATTATTAATATTAATATTAATAATGAGTCTCTGATCAGTGAAGAAAAACTTATTTAAACATATCTTAATAAATAGTCTTTGATAATCTTGTAGATTGTTGAGAAAAAGATTATAATATACATTCTCAGTACTCTGACAGAGCTTCTTATAATAGATAATAAGATAGTAGAAACATCTCTGAAAAGTAAGATAATTATTCTTCTTAACTTATAATTTTATCAATTTCTTGAAAACATTAACTCATTCTTCTATCAGTGATATTATATATTCAATATTAATCTTATCTTACAGAGTCATAGTATTATCAGCTTTCAAGATTTTAATAGTAATTTAAACATTTTTAACAAGACTTGATAGTATACATCTATATAGAGACTTGAAATGAATTCTTCACTTCTCAGAGTTAATATAATATGTAAAAGAGAATTCTTATTAAATTCTTAATAGAATATCAGTTTCATTAATAACTTCTGTATCAGTTAATATATTAATATATCAGACTTTATAATTAGAGTTATTAAATATAGTCACTGATTTAATATCTAGTATATATTTAACTTTCTTCTAATATTCTCATAACTTATTTCTTATAGTGTCTCTTTGTATAGAAACAGATATAGTGAGATGTTAAGTAATTTCAGCTACAGTTATTTAATTCTGTAGTATTATCTATATAAGATTTATAAGATTGCCTGCAATGCAATAGATAGATTGATTCAGATTATTATTAAAAGTCAGTATTTCAGAGATAAGAGATAATGAAGAATTTAATAAGTTAAAATAAACAGATTCTATAGATAAATATTGATATTAACTCTGCTTTTCTTTATTCTGAAGTTTTTTCATTATCTCATTATCAAATTTCATACTCTGATGAAAACTAATCTCAGTCTTATCTTATAAGTCAGAAGTCTTCTTATAATAAGTGATTATTCTATTAATAAGTTATCTAGTGAAGTGTGTGATTCTGAGTCTTGAGCTGAACTCTGAAGTAACAGATATATTACTTATATTAAAATGACTCTGCTTCTTCTAGATATATAAAAAAAAAGATAAAAAGTAATATTCTTTATAATAAAGAACATACTTTCTTAAAAATATAAAGTATATGAATCTACTGACTGACAGATTCAGAGAAAATGAAATATCTCTAATAAAGAGTAAAAGTCTTTTTAAAAAAGATGAACTATCTGTGTTAAAAAAATGTTGATACAATGTTCTAAAAAGAAAAATATACCATCCAGGCTATAACCTGTAGAATAGTTGAAGGTTGTATTGATAGATCTATCTACAGAAACATAATATAGTGGTGGGTCACGTGATCTAGTGGGATCGCTAACCGCAACGGCCGTAAGGGCCAACATTTATATCCTCCGCCGTTGGCCGTTATAATAGACACACTTGTTGACCTTTCTCCCGCCAGGCTTTCCAATGGTTAGATAGATTCGGTTTCGTCGATTGCACATGAGTTCGTCTAGTATTTAAATGTAATATTGCAAGGCTTCCATCATCAGCTTTTCTTCCCATCAATCCCTCATAGGTGACGAAGATACCCAGAGTTTACGGCTAGGGTGAGCGCTTTGCAGCTTTCGTGTACAGTTAACGTGCAGAATATAGTAAGTTTTGTCTTCTTTTTTTTTTTGGCTTTGGCCTTGGAATGAAGAAAACCTTCACTTGCTCTCTCTGTATTATTTGATGAGAGACAACTTTTTAGATCCCTGAATGGCTTCATTATCTCGTTAATCGCATGTGTCATATCGATTTTGTGTGTGACTGCAATGCTAATTACTCGTCGATCGTTCAATCCAGAGTACGAATGAATATCTGTCGCTCGGTACTTAAGCTATGGAGAGCGGACTTCGCACGGCGCAGACATTGTATCTTTTCAGTTTCTATATATAATACATATAGCTTAGAAGAATCATATAGTAGCCTGCGGCCTGCCACGCCGTCCAATCTCCATATTCTCAGATATTTCTATTAGAAAGGTAATAATAATAACCTAGTCCATGATATATGATGCCACACGTATTAAGGTGGTATCTTCTTGCCCTTCTGCTTGGATTCATCTATTCTGTAGTTTCTTGAAGCAATCTATCCTGTGAAAGCGAGTCCAAATAAACCGAGTTATTTAAATAAGCAAAACGTACGAACAGAACTATGAAAATAATAATATAATAGAATGATTTCACGATGTTAACCAAAACTCTCTCCAGCCCTATATTGGACCAAGAGGGTCGAGTTGGTAAGCAGCGTCTGTGATTGGTCGGAGAGCAGTCTTGGCACTGAAAAGATTCTCCGCCAACAGATATCCAACCCCCTTCGCCTCCTCAAAGATCCACGAACATTGAAGACCCTTCGCATACCGAACGCCAGACTATGAACTGTTCTCGGTCTTAAAATCACCCAGTCGTTGCCATACAGTCAAGCCACCTCTCTCCACTGGACGCGCCGCCACTTTTACTGTTTAGATCAGAGAGGCTCGCCGCATTTTCCCCTGACTCAACAACATCATCATGTCGTTCTCTTCCCTCGTTTCAGACATTGGATTTAGAGATGGGAACCGCGATGATCGTAGCACGTCGACTTCTCAAGGATTGACTTCCCAAACGAGTCGCGCACGCTCATATGTCAGCACCGCGGCCACCAGCGTGAGCATATCGGGCGACATCTCCAGCCAACTTCATGCCGGCTACAGCCATCCCCTCAACAGGGCATGGCAGGCCGAACGGCAATTGACGAAGGTGAGAAACGTGCTCTCCCAAATAATTGAACGAATGCAAGGTTTTCTGACATGAATGTTTGTATTGTACTAGTCCATGCTTATCTATCCTCTTTTCATTACCGACAATCCCGATGAAGAGACACCAATTCCCTCCCTTCCAAACCAGCACCGCCGCGGCATAAACCGTCTCATCCCATTCCTTACGCCCCTTGTTCAAAAAGGCCTTCGATCCGTAATCCTCTTCGGCGTCCCCTTAGCCTCCAATGCAAAAGATGCCCTTGGAACCGCTGCAGACGACCCCAACGGACCCGTCATCCAATCCATCCGGCTCCTCCGCTCCCGCTTCCCAGACCTCTACATCGTCACTGACGTCTGCCTCTGCGAATACACCTCCCACGGCCACTGCGGCATTCTCCGCGAAGACGGCACCCTCAACAATGCCCTCTCCATCGACCGCATCTCGGATGTTGCCCTTGCCTACGCCGAAGCGGGCGCCCACTGCGTCGCACCCTCAGACATGAACGACGGCCGCGTGCGCGCCATAAAAATCAAGCTCATCGAAGCCGGCATTGCCCACCGTGTGCTCTTGATGTCCTACAGCGCAAAGTTTAGCGGGTGTCTGTACGGGCCCTTCCGCGACGCTGCTGGCTCCTGTCCGTCCTTCGGGGATCGCAAATGCTACCAATTGCCGCCAGGTGGCCGCGGGCTTGCTCGCCGGGCCATCCAGCGTGATATCGCCGAGGGTGCGGATATCATCATGGTAAAGCCCGCCAGCAGCTACCTGGACATCATCCGCGATGCGAAGGAGCTGGGCAAGGATATGCCCGTGGCAGCGTATCAAGTGAGCGGGGAGTTTGCCATGATCCATGCGGGTGCGAAGGCGGGGGTGTTTGATTTGAAGGCGATGGCGATTGAGAGTACAGAAGGGATTTTGAGGGCCGGGGCGGGGATTGTGGTGAGTTACTTTGTGCCGGAGTTTTTGGACTGGCTTTCAAATTGAGAGGAGAGTGGTTCAGGCGTTCTCGTCTTTGCGTATGTATGTGGCATACGATAATCGTCGTATACCCCTGTTGCTTTTCCTTTCACGAATATTTGCAATGTTATTTAGGATAGATCGGAGTTCGGGCGGTTCTTTTTGGGCCTTGTTGTTTTCTGCGTGCCTCAAAACGAATACATCTATGTATGATATCTCTTCTCACATGTATGCTATGCATATCCTCTCCTTATTTCGATATAATACAAGAAAACAAAACACGGACGAACACAAAAAAAAAACCCCAAAGTATCCACGTTTTCCCTCCATCATGTACATTACATGGAGGGGGGAGACTTATTCTATTATTCTTTACCTTTGCCGTGCCCTTTGCCTACCCATCCTTCTATCCGACCGCTCCCAGCCCTCTCGGCCTTATCTCCATGGAGAATAGTGAATAGTGAACCTCTCCGTACTCCGTTGCAACTCAGGGGATACAGAGAGAGCACCAAGCCTGTTTACGGAAGTTCAACCTCCATCAACAAGGAGCGGTAGTCGAGGTGCGGATATACCTATATGCATCCATAATCTTCTTTAATGCAGAAGAGCAAAAAGTGCGATCTTGTTTTGAGGGCCTTTCCCCCTGTTCAACTCACCGACCGTCCCCCGCGTACCATTCTCCTTTTTTATTTATTTATTTATATTTATTTATATTTATTTTTTATAATTCACACTACTCAAATGTTCCCGCTTCTGCTCCCGTTTTCTACATAAGCTCACCCGCAAGGCAGTCAGCTATCTTTCCTGGCCCTTTCAGGAGAAATATACATGTTCATATGGAGAAGTATATATGTCAGTTGATTGCAATTGACAATTTGAAAACCTCTTGCAATATCCAGAAAGCTTTAGAGCAAGGCAATTTGGTATAATTCTCTATCCACCGCAGGCACATTATATGACTTCGACTTTTCCCAAGATCCAAAGACGGGGTTGTATATCAGCGTCAAACCCGCTAAATACCTCACTCATTCTCATATGTATCAACAGACGGCTCTTATCCCCCATTCATCACGTTATAAATGCTCACCGGTCACTACGCCACGGCACTAGCTTCTATCTCCATGTATTCAGGTAATGATTTCCATGGGCTAACCGGGAGAGAGGGAATTCGAATTAGAACTCTGATGCTGGGGCCTGCAGACTCACAAGAGCCGTGCTGAGTGGCGGTTGGATCTGGTCAATACGGAAAAGGTAGATAGATATCTCAATCCGCGAAACAAAAAGAAAAGCGTAGGATAACAGGACGTTGTTTCTCCTCCTCTCATTTGTTGATATCTACTGCCATGGATGTGACTACGGTCTAAGAGCCCGCTAATAAACGTATGTAACTATGTACTGTACATTATTACATCCTGTTCTCCCTCCTTGCGTGATAAACAATACTTCTGAGAAATCCACAATCACACTTGTATCACAATCTCCTTTGACGCTCTGGACATGGATACGGAGCCTTTCAAAACAGGCAAGAAAAAAAGAAAAAATCCAAATTTCTATTCGGTAACAACTTTCCGGACGACCACGACGACCGAGACAGAATAATAACCCTCGCATTGCGCGCTTAAAATCATAGACACTCTGCTTGATCGTCATCAGCGGCACGAGCCAATCAAACCCATGTAGCAATGATACACCCTTCCATACGCAACTACATTAGCTGGTCAAGTTGTAAACGCAAGTTTAGGACTGCTGTTGGGGGTGGGGGGGAGGAAGTGGTTTGAAACAAATTGAAGGGGGTGAGTTTAATCTCATTTCAATTTCCTCCCCCGTCATGCTCCCTCCCACTTGCCGCCATGGATATGAATAGATAAATGAGGGGGGAATTATTCTGAACAAGAAGATGAAATAGTAAGTGTTATACTAGTACTTCCCGTCCAGCAAGATTCGGGGCTGAGCAAGCTACTTCCGTAGCACCGCGCATAATAATCTTGCTTCTTCTTGATCAACGTGTCATGGGGCCTGATTGCGTTTTGAAGCACATTGCGGGACTAATCAAATCTCCTAGACAGAGAGTGTTCTTCTGGACTCAGATGAGGAGAAAGAGAGCGCCGTGAGTGAGTCAAGCGCCAGAAAACGACAGAGACTTACTCATCACATTTTCTCTCACTGCAAACGTTGCGTGGCTGATGGAAATTATTTCCTTATTCATGGCCCCCTCTAATAAACTGGGATGGGAATATCAGATGCCTTCGTACTCCGTACTGTACTATCCCGAAGAAAAATGCCGGCCGTCGCAGCACTATGTTTGCTCTCAAGTGATACGGAGTACATAAATTCTAATCTCTGCGCGCGCTACGCAGGAGTTATGATACAAAATACTAATAATCATCCACCGAAACCATAGCTTTCGTAAAGCCGTGGATTTTCGGGGAAACAGCGGCATTTCGTCCTGACATTTATCTTAGCGCCCCTGGCCGAGTCTGATCAATTATTATCGATATAAATGGTGTGGCAGTGATAAGGGCGAATGATGAAAGATAGTCGCTACGGTGGGGGAGAAAAAAAATAATTACATACGCCATACGATAAATTATGCGGCGGTTGGGCGCGGGAACGCTCGTCTGAAGGGCGCATAAATAACAAAACTGTCGCTCGCGCGGCGCTAACTAACAACAGAAAATCAGATGGGGGCGGCATGCGCGTTCAAAACTTCAATGCACAGCCGCCCACTCTCCCACTGCCATGATTGGGCCGCAACAGGAAAATCATAATACAACTCATCACAATAATAATGAAGGATGAACTAAAACGTACCCTGCCGCCCGCCCGGCCACCTCAGCTCTGCCATCACACCATGGCTCCTGGTGCACAAACAAGGATTGTCATTGGTGAAAAGCGGTCAGGCAAACCTTGCCATTTGCGAGGCAATGTGCTTCTGTTGCACGCACATGATAGGATGGCGGGTAGCAAGGGAGGGAGAGCGCTACGAGCGGGGGAAGGGGAAAGGAAACAAGGGCGGCAAGAGGAAAAGAGGGGGCGTCCAGCGCCCCCAGCGGCCGCGCGAACCGTGATCCCGCCGCAAACTAGGCGTTTTTGGCGAGCAGCGAGCGGCATGCGGGTACTGCGGCGCTACTGCGGCCGAGGTAGCGCTAACTTTTGGTATCTGTTAACTTTCGGGGGTTGCGTTCAGATAGGTATCATTCAGTAGCCATGATCCTAGCGAGCACCCCACTCATCCTTCTCTTTAATCACGCAAGATGTGCCCTGACCATGAGCGTCTCGGTGACTTTTTTCTGAACAATTGCAGTGGGAAAGAGAAGAGAGAAAGGCGAGAGTGCTGTTTTTCTAGCCCCTGATTGATGATATACTTCGTCCCAGGTTTTCAGGCATTGATCTTAGTGTTTCTGTCTCGCAAAAATGGGAGTTGCCCAGTCATGCCCAATAATGGTGATGCCCAGTCATGCCCGGCCAAAACATGTATAAAATTGCCCCACACACACCTCAACAGCGTGTATATTCTTAGAATAAGAAGAAGAATACACTATTTACTGACCTTGGATTTTTGAGTTCAAGTCCAAGTCTAAATCAGGAAGTCTGAAAGCGAACCCCGAGAAAGTGAGATGGGAAAAATGAAACCGTTAAAACATGGATTTACACGCAGGAAGAAAAGTTGAGCAATCGCAGTCACAAACTCAAACTCACAAACCAGTTTTTCCAAGATAATTGGACGGCCGCTCGAAACGAATGCTAGCATGGGTATGCCAGTATGGCCATTCCGGCCCAAGCTGAGTTCGGTTGTTGCCCTTCTAATAATAAGAATCCTTATCCCACAAGACGCAAACAAAGCGGACAAAGCGGCAAGCAAAACTCTAAGCGAAGGGTGGGGGGCGGCCAATATTCGCGCTGACCGCTTGTCGCAGCACGCAGCACACTTTGAGAGTTGGTTGGCGGCTGGCGACTGGCGGCTGGCGCCCGGCACCGCGAAGAGAGAAAAAACCCTCGGACAGCGCGCCATGCGCCGCAGCGACTGATTGGACGAGGATGCGGGGATGAGTGATTGGTGGAATGTAACTTGGCCCATATTATTGTTCTTATCTGGACCAGTGAGAGTACTGCGCAGAGAATATCCCATAATTCCTAGGACAGAGAACTGATAAAAGCAGCCCTAGTAAGCCGTGTTTTAAAAGTCAATGCCATGGTCAACGCGTATAGATGGATGTATAATTCACTATTCATATTGGATGCCCACATAAAGACGTAGTACATAGTAACTAAAGATCGCCTTATTCATCCCGATGGACTGGACAGAGCCGATGGGAACAAACACATTGAGCTGGCAAGGTGGTGTCAGAAGTGTACGCGTATTGTAATGTACATATATGTACATGTACATACATACTTTACGTACAGTTTGAGACAAGTGTGTAAATACGCTACCAATACCGTACGTATGTCGAAACGTACCATACTCGTCAAGCGCATGTGCCGATAATTGGTACGACGACGACGACGACGATGATGATGATGATGATGATGGGGTCGGGTCGGGTCTCATCCATGTCGCGCCGGGCTGAGAAGATTTTTTTCCCCGTCCTTCTTTGCTTTTTCTGCTGGAAACAGGGGGCCGCGGGAAAAACAATGGCGGGGCTGATTTGAGCAGCCTCTGTCATCGCTTCCAATGCTTGATTAATATTGATCGATCACACAACCACGTCGTCCAGCCCGGAAAATCTGCCAAGAGGTATCGGCTGCTGTTCCATTGGACTGTGAGGATCATGGTCTCGAAAAGGCGCGGGTCCATGATACTTTCTGCCGCGGTGTTAGCCGGAAAAAAGCAAATGGTGGAACGTAGGTGATCGAAAACTAGGGACTAACCTGGTTAAGGTCTAATTTTTTGACCACTTAGGGCTCTGGCATCAACAGGGTTGGTATGTAAGTCATTAGTTGGGTTCGTTAGTTGAAGGACAAACCTGACCAGACTCCACTAAACTGCTTCACATGATGCAATCGTAAAGAAACTGCTTCCAATTTTTTTGGGGCGGGAACGGGCATCCGGGCTGGTTTGAGTGCTTTGTTTAGCTCGGGCCTCTTCTCTTTTCGCTTGTTGGCGTCTGTCTGTGTTATCAATCCATCCATCAATAAGGCAAACGAGAGCAGTGTTGGGCCAATGAAGTTGCGTAACTGAACATTATCGCTGAAAACGGAAACATTACGGGAGTACAGAGTGTCTTCCCAATCCTGCCTGCTGCTCAGAATAATAATGGCCGGCATCAATGGCATGACCGGTGATTTTCAGTCCGCGGTTGGCGACAAGAGAAATATGTACTCCGTACCTAGGAAGTCACAGGCAGCCACCAGTTTAGTCTTGCTTTTTCGTCTAACCTTCCCTTGCTTCCAAGAGGCTCAATGCTAAGCGGTGATTGGATAGGTCGATATGGAGGTAAGTACGGCGGAAGAGGCCTAACCGCGCCAGATGGGGATCACTGCTGCACTCCCGAGGTCGAGGCCGCCACTGGGATACTTTTGCCAATGACGCATGATTATTCGTCTTATTATCGCTTCTGGGTGTTTTGTGCTTCAAACGCCAAGCCTGATGTCCCGACCGAGTGGATGGATATGTACTCCGTATTATCGCAAGACATTAACGGTAAATGGCTGGCAACGTAGATATTGGTACGGATCAGCCTGCTCTGGAGAGATGAAGGCCATCACGAGGAGACGAGGACGGATTGGAGGGAGAAGTAGAAAAGAGAGAAGGTGTTTATGGTCGCATTTCCGCGACATATATTCAATAGAAACTGAATTGCGCCATCCGGACAGATCCGGGGCGATCAAGAATGGATCTGTTCGCTTTCCACCCCAGCCCTGTGCTGGCTGTTCCAACTCTTGTCTGAGCCTCAGCGGCGACTGGCGCGAGGAACCATGACAGAAACCATCGCACGAACGAATACGAGGGGGGAAACTGTGAACAAAAAATTACGGGGTACGACCGTATCAGCGATTCAGGCTTGATTGGGCATGATTGGCGTGTCCAGCTCCCACGGCTGGTGGTGGTGGTGGTTAAAAAAAAAAAAAAAAAAAAAAAAAAAAAAAAAAAAAAAAAAAAAAAAAAAAAAAGGAGAACACGGAAAGCCGTCCATCTCCTCCCCTTTGCCCTTTGTGCTATTAAGGGGGGTTTGGTAGGTAGGCGCTGATTTGGCTGTTTCTCTGAAACAATGTGGGAGAGGAGAGAGCGCCCCCCAAATCAGCAGAAGGGCCCAAGTGCGTGGAACAATAGCACCACTCTCCACCCCCCCCCCCCCCAGCCAAAGAGAAAAACTTGTATGCGGCAAATAGTCGGTCCTGCCCCAGCAGCGCCCAGGTGATCATGGGCGTTTACAGAGTTGGACGAAACACCATTTTAGTTTCACCATCATCCGCTTTGTCCCCTCATCTCGTCACGTTATTCGGGGCCATTGGTAGCACCTTGGACAGAGGGGCGGGAAGAACGGGACGCGGCGCCATAATTGGTTTAAGTCGTTCATCTTCGAAGGTTCTTTTCTTTTGGGCTCTTTCCATTTCCCCTCCGTTCCCTGGTTAGTGAGTGGGTGGAGGTATATCTGCTCGCGCTTATATCTTGTTTGTGACTCTTGTGCCGTTGAGCCCACATAGGGCCACTGAGAGACTAGTACCTGATATGCCGGACAGATGTCCAATGTTATTGATATTATTAGTAGTAGAATTGATATTATTATTTATTTTGATTGTCGTCACTGCCAGGAACTTCAAGTAGAAGTAAATAATTGATGTCAAGAAGTCCTCGATCCGTAGAGCACATACATACCGTACATACCGTTGCCGCTGGGTTTTAGGTCTTAGCTGCCTCGGAATACGTGACGATACGATACAGGGGCCTGCAACATACCAATATAAACTCATACCGTACACAGCGCTATCAATCGAGATTTCACGAAGCATCCTGGCATGAAACGCCCAGGTCTAGCGCGGAACTTCACCAGGGTTACGGAGTAGTAGCGGACGCCAATTGTCTGACTTTCTCAAGTGAGTCGTGACCAGGCATGAAAGTACAGTACGTTACTTGTACAGTCAGAATTTCAGAAATCAGAACATCCTCGTAACGTTCTGTTCTGGCGGCCCCGCAGAGCCCAAATACGGGAGTGGCAGCGGCGGGCGGCCAATCCCTGGCGCAAGCGACAGCCGAAACAAAACGATACAGACGCCCGCCCACACCTGCCCAGCCGCCCAGCAGCAGAGACATCGACGCAGACAACAACTCAAGTCACAGACACGCAGGAGACAGCTTTCTGGCCAACCACCGCCCGGCAGTGTTGGGGGGGGGGGGGGGACTGTGTGGCCGGTGCTTACCTGGGTACTGCCATGTCACGCCCAAGTCAATAATAATAATAACAGAGGAAAGTGTTCAGTAGAATGTTGTCAGTGTTAGCAGAATAGCAGAACAAGCGAAAAGCCGGCAGGGAAGACAGGTTGAACACAGTGTTGATGGAGATAGTAGTTAGCTTAGTCCGTTAGTCCATGCTGCTGTCACTAATATAATAATAATAACTAATATAATAATGATATAATAATGATAATAATAGTAATAGAATAAGGCAGACCCTAAAACCGGCTGTCTGTGTCTTTTTTTTTTTTTTTTTTTTTTTTTTTTTTTTTTTTTTTCCTCTTTTTCCCACTCCATGCTCTCTCCCTGCGGCTAACTAACTATCTTGCGCTCTTCCTCGATTTCTCCCTCTTCTTCCTCGATTTCTCCCTCTTCTTCCTCTTTCTTCCCGCTCTTCCTCGACATCCCCCCTCCCTTTGCTTTATGCCTTATATCCGTTCCCCGATTCAACTCTTCACCCAATCCCAACCTTGTTCGTTGTTTGTCTGTTGTTGTCTGGTCTGACCTGCGCTCTGGGTTTCGTCGTGTTTGGTTTCACTCTGGCCCTGATAACTCGAAATTGCTCGTCATCGCCTCGTCTGGCGCCTCTCTCGTCTCGCTGTGCCGCCAATCCTGCTCACCATCCAATCCCCCGACCCCATTCCCGCATCGCATCGCATCGCGTCAATCTTGCTGTGCCTTTCTGTCTGATCTTTGCTTTGCTACTTGTTTTGTCCCTTTGGTCGAGGTTGGAGGGGGTCCCTTGTCCCAACCTGCGCGCCCCGCCCCGTCTTACTTAACCAACCAACCGTCACTTCTTTTTATTCTTCTCCCTCAGTCATCTACTTAGTGACTCTTCTCCCTTGCTTCCTTTACTCATCATCATCATCTTCTTTTTCTTTGCGTTAAATCCGCTTCTCAATTGTGGTTGTTGTTTACTTGTTCTGTCGGTCCGTTTTCGGTGTAGTTGGCCTTAGGTACATACATCGCGAGCTTCCAACAACCCAAAAAACCCACGGCTGCCCCTTCTATATAACCAACCACACACAAGCACACACGCCACCTCGATTTCCTCTGACGCCCTCCCAACAACTGTTTGGAAACCTTAGCTATAGTGCAAGCAATATTTATCCCTCCGGCGATTGCCTCTATCCCACCAACCCCGTCTCGAGCATCTCTCGATATTAGCATTTCCGCGACTACCAGCTGTCTTCATTTCTTTTTTCTGATATAAGCAAGTCCTTCTTCAGTCGGGCAGATCTGCCGCAAACACGAAAAAAGATGTCCGCTGTCGCATCGGTCCCAGCGGTTAACGGAAACCATGATTCCAATAAAGACTCCAATCCAGAACATAGTCCATCACGGTTCACCGCTGTAAATGGGAGGGACCAGGGTGCGCTACCTTCTAACAGTAACAACAATAACGGCAATAATAGCAATAATACCGGTCCGTCGGAGAACAATCCCACAGTCGCCCAGAACGAAGAGCCGTCAGCGAGTGCCACTGCGGAGCGCGATCGCGCTTCGAGGAATTCGGGGACGCCAGCTCGCCAACCTGAACAATCCTTGGAGTCTGCGAACCCCACAGTCCAGGATCCCGAAGCCACATACGTTGTCTCCGACGGCAATTCTCCAAACACAAATCGAAACAAACGAAAACGTTCAGAATCAGATGAACGCCAGACTTCTCCGTCCTCGTACCAGGGTCATAGCGTCTCCAGGAGTCCTGTTTCCCAACCTGATCACAAACTCGACCCTCAAATTCAAGGCGCTCCCCCAAATGGCACGACCCACGCGCAAACAGCATCTGAAGCAGATTCAGTGGCCAAAAGAGCCAGGCAGAGCTTTGCAACCGTTCCGGAGCGAAGTGTCAGCGTCCAATCGACAGGCAACACCTCTGCCTGGGATAGTTACGATACGCAGCTGACGAATCATGCGCAACTTGGTCACCAGCCTATTGACTCTTCAGATGCTCAGCTCGCAGAAGCTCTTCAGCGCGATGTCCAAGGCCCTGACCATGCCGCAAAGAACTGGCCCACGGTGCCCGAGGGTGAATCTGCCGACTCAACCCGCAAATTCACCTATTCCCATACGCCGCCGCAAGAACGACCAATTGGCCCTGTACAAGTTGGTCCCAAGAGGAAAAGGGTTTTCAGCAACCGCACAAAGACGGGTTGTATGACCTGCAGAAGAAGGAAGAAGAAGTGCGATGAACAGCATCCTTCTTGTAAGTTTTTGAGCCATATTCCATTTTTTCGACATTGACCCATGTGCCCCATCGGCACCTGGCCCTTACGCAGTCTCCTTTCTCCTCCAAGACGTAGTATATTATTACCTTTCATTCTTTCCAAATCAACACCGGGTCTAACGGTTGGATTTTTAAATTAAAAGGCAATAACTGTTTGCGCGGTGGCTTCTTATGCGAAGGTTACTCGTCCCGAAGCACTTGGCAGAAGCCTTCTACCTCCAAACCACCAGTTCCACTCCAAGCCAAAGACGGCTATTCCGAGGTACCTCCTCAATACATCCCTGACATGAGCCCCCAGAGACACGATAGGGCCCCAACTACAATACATACAAACAATGGCAAGTCTAGACCTATCCCTGTAGACGAAAACGAGCGTGTTCCGTCGCAATACATCACAAGTGCGGCTGGCGCGGGATCTAGAGGTTCGTGGTCGAATGATACCTGGCCATCTGGTCCCTCGTCTTTCACGCCGGAACATCCTTCCCAAAGAGAGTTTCGAGATGGTCCTGGTATTAATAATATTTCTCGTGCAGAGCAACCAAAGTCCGATTATCATGCCGCCTTGCGGGAAATGTCCCATGGCGCTTCACATCAGAAGCCTGGAATGCCCGTTTTTCAAGGCAATATCGAGCAGCGTCCCAAACACCAGCAACCCCACGTTGACACAAGCAGCTACCCGGCTCAGGCTCGGCTAGCTCTTAACATGGAACCTCACGTCGCATTCGAGACTCCTAAGACCGAGAAGGAAAAAATGCTTGCTGGAGAACCGTACCAGAATTACTTTGACCCGCAGCTCAACCGAGAGCGAGAACGTTGCAAAGCCGCGTTATGGCGATACAATAACGCCAGCAATCCGAACCTAGGGATCAGCCCGGACGAGCGACGGCGACTGCTGAAAGAAGTCCTAATTCCCCCATTAGACCCGCAAGCCGAACCAGGCTCCAACACCCCCGTAGGATCCTTGGGGCCCTGCGCCATCGTTGAAACGCCCTTTAATTGTCATTTCGGATACAACATCAATATCGGGGAAGACGTACTGATATCTGAAAACTGTCTGCTCGCAGACGACTGCCCTATCAACATCGGCGCGCATACGTGGATAGGCCCTAATGTCACGATATTGGGATCCATGGCGATGGGAAGCATGCAGGATCGCAAAGGTTCTCGCAGCAAGTACCAGGGCCGCCCTGTTGTTATTGCTGAAGACTGTTGGATTGGCGCTGGAGCTACTATTTTGCCCGGTGTGAGCCTTGGAAGGGGCGCATACATTGCCCCTGGAGAAGTTGTCAAGCAGCAGATTCTGCCGTATGGTTTTCAAGGGCTGAAGCCTAATTTCCCTTGATATTCGTCTAAATATATGATCTATGATATGATATATGATTTTAGTGGGTTGCTCAGGTTTGAACTCTTCTCTACACACGCAAGAAAGAGAAAGAGAAGGAAAATCCAGGGTAAACTGCTAGCTGGGGCACACATGGTTGCCTCCAAAATTTTTGCGTTCCAACCTCTGCACGCCCCAATCGAATTCTGGCTAGCTGGCTGGCTGGCTGGCTTTAATAAATCGATCTGTAAGGGGTTATATATATATTCTCTTTATTTTTAGTTTTTGTCTTGCTGTTTTTTATTTTCTATTGAAAAGACGCATTTTAGTCGATTGCTTTCTATTTCCTTTTACTGTTCTCTATTTATTAGTCCCTTTTCCTACGTATACGAAACGTTATACATGTCTTTGTTGAGTGTTCTGAGTACTCTACCGCTCTCCCATCTCTTTTTCACGTCGATGTCTATTTTATTCTTTTACCAGCTCCCAAAAGGAATTTGTGTCGTTGATAGGCGGCCAAATCTGTCTTTCTGATTGATTGATTGATTGATTGATGAAATGATTGACTGCTTTTTCATGTTCCATGCTTCAACAGTCTGGATGCGCTCAGATATGAACTGTATATGGCTTGAGTGCGCGAGGTGCTGGAGGGCGTGGTTGAAGATGCGTGCGTTAACGGCCTGCACTTTCAAGTGGTCTTTTAATTTGAAGGAAATTGTGAAATTCCTTTTTAGATGAATTCAATAACCTGACGATGTCACGGAATGTAATATGTAATGGTTAATGGCTTTCTGATTCCCTTGCTTTCTCATCTCATTCAGGGTAAAGATGGTATTTGAAAGGGATTGATTAATGGTGGATGGGTGGCGGCATATATTAATAAATATATATATATATATCAATATCTTCTCGATCTGCTCTATAGCATGGGATACCTCCTTTACTCTGCGGAGACAAAATCAAAATAACCAATTACAAACCCAGTTGAATTTCCCTTGTCCATAGAGACAATTATACATCCCAAGCCGGTCTAAGAATTCTCCCAGAAGAAGAGGGGTAGTTATAGCTGCTGACTAAGCTATGCACGCCCCTCTCCCCAGTGTAGCCTTGTTTGCATTTCCCAAAACAACTCCGCCAGTTCATTTCTCACGGGGATCTCTTTATTTCTCATCTCTCTTTTGTCTCTCATCTCTCTCATTCTCATCGCGCATCGCTCGGTTCTCTCTTCTCTCTCTCATTTCCCTCTATTACCTCTCCTCTATCCCCTCCCAATCCACCTTAATGCCTAGGAACCCCCGTTGTATCGAACCCAGCCTGTGTATCTGACGTGTTTCCCGCTCCACCTACTCACTCCTCATTCGGTACATAAACTTGTCCTTGGCTTCGGGAGGTATGGCTTTGACAACGGTTTGCGGGTGATAGCCGAAACCAACACTAACAACCTTCACCGTTTTTTTTTTTCAACAGGATAATTCCGAGAAGCGGGTTAAGATTTTTGGCCCTTCTCCGGGAAACAAATAAATCCTTTGGCCGCGCAAGATTGGCCCACCGCCTCGCGGCTCCTCCCTCCAACGAATATAGCTACAGTTACCACACACAACAGCTTCTTAGCTATTTAAAGAACCTAAAATTGTATTTTCTTCTTCTTTCTTTCTCTGTTTCGTTTTGACGAAAAGAAAAGAAGCAAAGACTTTGCAACCCTTCCGTGCGAGTCCGTCCTTGACCACCAACAAAGACCCAGCTACGAATATATCAAAAGACGAAACCCTAGGACGCGAATAGTTAGAAGACTTCTGTTGACAGGGCACGTCCCCTGCTTCTGCTGCCTTTTTGTGTTTTTGGCGCGGTATGTCGTTTTCAATCGCAGAGCTAGATAATACGGTTCGGGCCTTCTATGAAGGGAAGGGTGATGTTGTAAGTGTTGCTTTTGCTTTCGTTTTTGCTTGAAATTTTTAGCTCATGTCCAGTTATATGCAATATATAATGGACAACCGCCTAAACAAGAGGAGGGAGGAGAAAGCAGAGGAGGAAATCTGAGAACAGCAGCCATGTTTTAAAAGATCGCGACATTTGGCTAATCGTTTTCTTTTGTATACAGCAAAAACAAGCCGAATATGCCTTGACCGAGGTAATTATCCCCTGCCCACGACTTCTTCCTGACCTCACCTCCGGTCTAGCTAGTTGTCTCATGAGACGGTTTTATCTGATAGAACTCTTGTGGAACTATAGTTCAAGCAGAATCCGGATGCATGGCTCGTAGTCGCGGACATCCTTCAGCAATCCGGATACGTCTACACGAAATGTAAAGCTGACCCTATTCAACCCTTATATTACAATGCATGTGTGGGACATTTGTGGGCTGATCTTCTGTTACAGATCTTGGTTTACAGGTATTGGATGATCTTATTTCGACAAGATGGAATATCCTTCCGGTTGTGCAACGCCAAGGTAGCTATTCCCGCCTCTCTTCTATTTTTTTTTAAAAAAATCTTTTGTACTTAACATTCATGACCAGGCATCCGAAATTTCATCTGCGAATGCATCATCGAACACTCGAATACGGAGGAGAAACTAAAGAATGAGAGAGCGTTCCTCAACAAGCTCAATCTCGTGCTGGTATCAATATTGAAGCAAGATTGGCCAGATAACTGGCCGAACTTCATTAAAGAAATTACCGAGGCGTCCCCTGCCAATTTGTCTGTCTGTGAGAATAACATGGCCATCTTCCGACTGCTATCTGAGGAAGTGTTCGATTTTTCCCAGGATCAGATGATCTCCGAGAAGGCGAAGCGCCTGAAGACAGCAATGTGCAATGAATTCCCTCTGATCTTCAACCTCTTCTCCCAAATTCTGGCCGATGCGCACCAAAGTAGCCTCATAAAAGCCACGTTAGAAACATTGCTTCGATTCCTGAACTGGATTCCGCTCGGATATGCATTCGATCAAAAAATCATCAGCAAGCTGCTCGATAGGTTTTTGATGGTGCCCGATTTCATGAACTTGACGCTCAAGTGTCTAACAGAGATCGGGAGTGTACAGATTGGGCAGCAGTACCTGTTTGACGAGACCCTCGTGCAAATGTTTATGAACACGATGATGAAGGTATCGGAAATGATCCCGTCCCCCATGGATCTCAAGCAGACCTACGCTACGAGCGGATCCCGTGAACAAGAGTTTATTTTGAATTTAACCCTTTTCCTTTGCAACTTCTTCAGCGTTCACCTAAATGTAGGTTTATCTCCCGCCTAACCCCCAATTTTCTTCGGGTGAGCCTTAACACTGACTGCTTCTGATATTTTTTAGCTCCTTGAAAAACTTCCCGATACCAACATTCTCATCCGTGCGCATTTTTACCTTATCTGTATTAGCAAGATAGAAGACAGGGAAATTTTCAAGATCTGCCTCGAGTACTGGACAAAACTGGTGCAAGAGTTGTATGAAGAAATGCAGCAGCTCCCAATCACTGACATCAACCCCTTAGTCAATATGGGCGTGAGCGGCCTTTCGAATGGAGGAGCTCCGAACCCTAGTACCCTGGCCAACTACCCGCTCCGAAAACACAAATACCAGGAGGTCTTATCGGAACTGAGAGTAGTAATGATAGAGAAGATGGTGAGGCCCGAGGAAGTTCTAATCGTGGAAAACGACGAGGGTGAAATCGTGCGCGAGTTCGTTAAAGAGAGCGATACCATTCAACTATACAAGACCACTAGAGAATGTTTGGTATACCTGACCCATCTCGATGTGGTGGACACTGAAAACATTATGGCGGATAAACTGGCCAAGCAAGTTGACGGGTCCGAATGGTCATGGGCGAACTGCAATACACTTTGCTGGGCGATTGGCTCCATATCCGGTGCGATGAACGAGGAGACAGAAAAACGGTTTCTTGTCACCGTTATTAAAGACCTGCTTGGCTTGACAGAAATGAAACGGGGCAAGGACAATAAGGCTGTCGTAGCAAGCAATATCATGTACATTGTTGGACAGTACCCGCGGTTTTTGAAGGCACATTGGAAATTTTTGAAGACGGTGGTGAACAAGTTGTTCGAGTTTATGCACGAGACGCATGAAGGTTAGTACTTCAATCCCTGATTTTGCTCCAAAAAGTTAAAGAACGCAAAGCTCATGTGAAAATCTCAAAGGTGTCCAGGATATGGCGTGCGATACGTTCATCAAAATTGCCAACAAGTGCAAGCGGCATTTCGTCGCTCTCCAGCCCGGTGAGAGCGAACCGTTCATTGAAGAAATCGTCCGAACTATGCGGAAAATCACCTGCGACCTCTCCCCGCAACAAATCCATACCTTCTATGAGGCCTGCGGCTATATGATTTCGGCCCAGGGACAGAAGAGCCTACAAGATCGGCTGATTGAGAACCTCATGGCATTACCGAATTCGGCCTGGGATGCGATAATTAGCCAAGCCATGCAGAATCCATCCATTCTGGAAGACCCGGAAACCATCAAGATTATTGGTAACATTATGAAGACGAATGTTGCTGCGTGTTCGTCAATTGGGAGTTTCTTTGATTCACAGATAAGCCGCATCTATCATGATATGCTCAATATGTATAGGGCGACCAGTCCGCTTATATCTGATGCTGTTGCTAGAGGAGGTTAGTTCTCTTCCTCTTTTCCGACTGTTAAAAAAATGTATTTGACTGACTTCGATCCTTTTCGGCATTAGGAGAAAACGCCACGAAAATGCCCAAGGTACGGGGTCTACGGACGATCAAGAAGGAAATCCTGAAGCTTATAGGCACCTATGTGGAAAAGGCGGACAATTTGGAAATGGTCAATACCAATATGGTACCCCTGTTGTTAGATGCCGTCCTTGTGGATTACAGCAACAATGTTCCAGATGCACGGGAAGCTGAGGTCCTTAGCGTTATGACAACTCTCATTCACAAACTACATGTAAGTCTCTGATCTCGTCTTTTCGAACGGCCCCATCCCGTTTTGTAGCTGAGCTGACAACGCGGCAGAACCTGATGGACGACAAAGTCCCGCTTATCATGGAATGCGTATTTGCATGTACGCAAGCCATGTTGGACGCTGACTCCCACAAATACCCCGAACACTACGTGGAGCACTTCAAGCTCCTACAGGCCATCAATCTATACTGTTTCCCCTCCCTCATACGACTAAGTGAAAATCAATTCAAGTACGTGATCGAATCGATCGAGAAGGCGAGCAAGCACGATGACAGAGAAGTGGAAAATACCGCCTTGACAATATTCCTCGAGTTGGTGAATAATATGACCGAAACGGACCCGCAAATATCGAGCCATTTCTTCAAACAATTTTACATGCCTATTCTTCAAAATGTCTTTGCCGTTCTTACGGATAGTAGTCATAAAGCTGGTATGTCTTAAAACTTTCGTGTCCTCGGTGCCGACGATAGGGAATAAATAGAGCGCTAACCTGTTTCTTTTTTATCCTGTAGGGTTCAAAAACCAAGCCATGCTTCTCTCCCGCATGCTTTACCTTGTCAAAATTGACAAGATCCCTGGGCGCATACTACCAGCAGACGAGGCGGACCGGAGTTCTAATAGGGAACTCCTCACGGCGTATTTGAAGAAGAATCTTACTTTCCTGAATCTGAATCAGTGAGTCAAGTTCCAGACATATTAATGCCTTCACCCTCCCCACCCCCCCCCTTTTCCTATGGGCTGTTTGTTCCTAATCACATATGTGACCCACAGAGCCCAAATCGATAAATTCGTCGATGGCCTCTTCGATTTTAACGATGATTTCAACAAATTCAAAACCCACCTCCGCGACTTCTTAATCTCGCTAAAAGAATTTGCCGGCGACAATGCCGAGTTGTATGCCGAAGAGCGCGAGCAGGCGCTGCGAGACGCTAAAATGGCAGAGAGGGACCGGCAGATGAAAGTTGGTGGGCTATTGAAACCGGCTGAGATGGATCAGGAAGAAGAGCTGTGACTCGAAGAGGAGCTTCGGGCTGAAGTTGCTAGGGGTGTTCAGGTGGAGTCTAGAGCGCTGCCGCCGCCGTCGCCGCCGTCGTCATCTGTTTTCTCCTCGCACCACCAGCCAGTGGAGACAGATCGTGATAATGAGGATGGGTTAGATGGCTGGTCTCTATACCATTGTTAACCTCTTTTTTTTCTTTTTTCTTTTTTCTTTTTCTTTTTCTTTTTCTTTCTTCTTCCCTAATATAATATCAGATAACATCAGAGAAATCAGAAAAGTCGGAAACTTTAGGTTCTCGCGATCATCTTAGTGATTGATTGGTATTTCTTTCTTTTCTTTCTTTTTTTTTACCTTATTTTTTTGCTTTTTCCATTTCTACTCTCCATATCTATCTTTCTTCTTTTTTAAAACTATGGAATGAAAAGGGAAAGAGTTAGAGGTCAGCGGGAGGCGCTCAGCTCAATACATATTTCACGGGTTGGGTTGAGTGAGTGGTGTTTGGTTTGAGTGAGAAGGAGGATGTTGAAGGACGAACGAGTTGGGAAAGTTTGATCCCCTAGGACGTTTTTTGTCGTATGGAGAAGAAAGAGAGGCGTGCGTATATCAATCTTCCTCTGTTACCTCGACGCGCTGGTGCTGATACCTTGTACTCAGATAATTGTCAATATATCTTTCTTATTTCAACTTTTAAGGTTAGAAAAGAAGGTTCTTCTGTAAGTATGTAAGAATAAGTGCTCGCAGGCGATTATTCAGGTGTTTCCAGCTTGATGTGATATGTACTGATAGCTACTAGAAGTATTCACAGTAGAAAGATAAATGTAATGTAATCAACCACCTAACGCTCGTTTCCACCTAACACTCGCCTTTGTAAATCAATTACAATCAACTTTAAATGTTAATATCTCAATAAATATTCATTATTTTAATTTTTTAATTTGTAATCTATAAATATCAAGACTTATTTATAGTATAATATAATTCAAAATTATTATAATATAGTTAAAATTGATTAAAATATAGATTCAATTAGAAAATAAAATACAGTAAAATAAAATATATATTTATATATTATTAAAAATAATAATTCTTATATAATTATATTATAATTTAATAAATATTAAATTATTTTATATAAGAATTCTATATTTTAATTTTTAAGAATTTTTTAATTTTTTTATTATAATTCTTTTTATAAATTACAAGTAAAATATTGAAAATTCTTGAAATTTTAAATTTTGAAAAAAATACATAGTTATTACAAAAATAATATTTTAAAATATAAAATTTTATATAAAATTTTAAATAAATCAATAATCTATAAGAATTTCATTTAATTTTTATATGAAAATAATTTATATTTATAAATATATTTATAAATATAGACTGTGTATTTTATTTTAAAATAGTATTTTAAAAAGCTTAATAAATTAATAATTATATGTTATTTTCTCATAGAAATTTAATATAATATAATATATATCTATAAATTATTATTCTGTTTTTTTGAATAGTTTTAAATAAATATTCATTAAGATATGAATATTTGAAGTTAATTGTAATTGATTTACAAAGATGAGTGTTAGAGATGAAAACAAGTATTAGATAATTAATTACATTAGAGATTAAATATATAATAGTATTTAAGCTGAGTTATGAATAGTATTCACAAACTTCAGTCTATATAGTTATGTATAGTCAAGAGCTGCTAATCTTATTAATTATATATATAATTTATCTCAGTGACTGAATAATTAATGCAGTTATCTAATAGCATCTTGACATAAAAAATCAAGACATGTGAGTTTGAAACTTATAGAGAATACATTAAATCTGAAACTTAAGTATCTTAGATTTCTAATAAATACAGAGATGTACAAATCACTTTAATAAATTACTCTATATTTCTGAGCTGAGAAGTTATTATCATATGTATCTAATTGTCACTTCTTTGTATTTTTCTATGTTCTTGTTATCTTGATATGATTTCAACACCTGTATTTCCTTCTGTATAATTAACACTTAATCTGTATTTAACATTATACAAGAACTCATTATAAGCTTCACTTGTATATAAGTATAATGAAAGAATAATAATAATAATAATAATATATATAATTTAAAAGAATGTTATTATTATTATTATTATTATTCTTTTATTATACTTATATACAAGCAGAGCTTATAATAAGTGCTTACATAATGTTAAATACAGGTCAAGTGTTGATTATACAGAAGGAAATACAGATGTTAAAATTGTATCAAGGTAATAAGAACATAGAAAATACAAAGAAGTGATAATTAGATACATATAATAATAACTTTTCAGCTCAGAAACATAGAGTGATTTATTAAAGTAATTTGTACATCTCTGTATTTATTAGAAATCTGAGATACTTGAGTTTCAGATTTAATATATTCTCTGCAGGCTTCAAACTCACATATCTTGATTTCTCATATCAAGATGCTATCAGATGACTGCATTAATCATTCAGTTACTGAGACTTTAAAAGAATGTATAACTGCTGAATAATAATACAGCTGCTTCTAAACATGCTTACAAATATAAAGAGGTTATAGCAGCCACTAATTAATTTAGTGTAATGTATATAAGAAGTCAGTGTATGTCTGTAATTATATACTGACTCAAGAAACCTTTGTATCATATCTGATAGTATGTTTAAAAACTGATAAGAAGTGCAGACTTCTTCAGAGTGTGATAATTTCATCTATAAAGTAATTCATAGTTATTATATTAATGTGATTCTAAAATATCTTAAAAGATAGTATATGAAGAAATAATAAGTGAAAGAGTATCTGATTAATACTGCTTTGCTTATTGATGAAAAACTTCATACTCAGATAAATACTATGTATGTGAATAGATAAGATATGAGAAATAAGATAAGAGCAGTGAATCAGATTTAAAGAAGACTTATTATTATTATTATTATTCTTTTATTATACTTATATACAAGCAGAGCTTATGATGAGTTCTTGTATAATATTAAATACAGATTAAGTGTTAATTATACAGAAGGAAATACAGATATTGAGATCATATCAAGATAATAAGAACATAGAAAAATACAAAGAAGTGATAATTAGATACATTTAATAATAACTTCTCAGCTCAGAAACATAGAGTGATTTATTGAAGCAATTTATACATCTCTGTATTTATTAGAAACCTGAGGTGCTTGAGTTCTGAATTTAATGTATTCTCTGCAGATTTTGAACTCATATGTCTTGATTTCTCATGTCAAGACACTACTGAGTGACCGCATTAATTATTCAGTCACTGAGGCATTTAAAGAAGACTGCTCTCTACTCAGAAGAATAAAAAAAGAGATAATTATCACTGAAGTTATATAATGATAACAGAAAATGAAAATCAGAAATCATATAATAATATAATAATAGACATTGTATAATTAATGAGAAACTACTGAAATGAATATCTCTTCTAGTTAATATAAATAATACTCTTCTCTGCTATCTGAACTGAAAGATATACAGAATCTTTTAGAGAATTTACTTAAAGTAGTAAAAAAAGCAGCTGAGACTGCTGAATCAGAAGTAAAACTCTGTATGTATATAAGAATTCTAAATAAGATTGAGATCTTGTGTACACAGTAACAGACTGAAACAGAAGTTAAACAATAATTAATATTTACTGTAAATTAAGTATTCACTATGAAGAGCTTCACTGACACAATTATTATTATTAATAAGAATAGAGAAAATCAGATTGTAGATCTGTAGTAAGAGATTGAATAATTATATAGATAGATAATTATACTGAATCTGAAGATCTTACTATAATTATTTACAATCTTTTCAAAAGTATACACATTATCTGAGACTGCTGCATGTAATAAGAATTCAAACTTAAGATATATTAAGTCAGAAGATCTGCTGAAGTTATTAACCTTTAATAATAACTGAAAAAATAATGCTGTAATCAGCTGACTAAGTCAGATATGATTATATTATCAGATTAAATATGAACTCATGAACAGATAGTTAATAGAATTTCAATAAGTCTTAAGATCTGTTACATTTCTATATAAAAAAGTGAAGTTATTATGAATAATTAATGAAAAGATGAATCTCACAGATCTGAAGTGATATTTATTCTTATAAATATGAAATAAGTTTTTCAAATAAATCTTATATAACTTTGAGAAAGTGAATATATAAGATAAGTGTTATAAATACTTCACTAAGTATAGATAAGTAAGTGATCTTATATTATACTTCACACACTTCAGCTTACACTATCTTATATTAAATAAAGAGCTTTTAATATCTTTCTGTTTATAGATCTTTATTCATAATCTTATATCTAAGTTAAGAGTGAAATGAAAATGCTTAATCTTATAATTAGATACAGTAAAAGAAGTATATAATATTCTTATTATATAAGAACAAGTGAGTTAACTGTGATAGAAAATACTGTAATTAAGTATATCTTAGTGAAGAATGAGTAATCAGACTTCTATAATACAAGTTACACACTCAGATATAATAAATCTAGTTTTGAATACTATTACTAAAGTACTGATTTCTCTGAAAAAGAAATCTTCTAAGTGAAAATCTTGATATTATAAGTATTAAGCTTGCTTTAACTATAGATGTTAAAATCATAATGTAAAAGATTACACACAGTGTATACAGTTAAGCGAGTTAAAAAACTAGCAGAATCAGTGAGTTTAAAAGCACTCACTGATATTCTATAAAAAGTCTTCAAAATGAAAGAGATGTCTGTGTTTAGACTGATTACTGAGATCATGAATTTCACATTTGATCTCATTTGATCTGGTCTCATACATTTCTTGACATGAATCCCGCTGAGACTAGTCATTAAAAAAGCATGTAAAGAGACTATATATCAGATCTTAAAATGAAATCATGACTTGAAAAAAATAAGAAAGTGATTTCATTTGATTTTATTTAGTCTCATTCTTGACATAAAGTTACTATTTTTAGACATTTTAAGATTTTTTTTAGACTATTTTTAATTTTTCAAAAAGTAACACTTTTTGATAACACTTAAATGAGATTTAAAGTCATGTAAAGCAATAAAAATAATTTAAATTAAGAAGTGAAAATCATGATTTTATTTGAAAAATGTGACAAGAGTAGACAGTAAGTCTCACTGAGACAGTATAAGACTACTATCTAATGTTAAAACTGTGTAATGAGATCAGTTGAATTAGTAATGAAACTATTAAAAAATCTAATTCTGATCTCAGACACAGTCACATAATCAGTCTATCTGTGTTAGATAACTCACTGAATTCTGTGAATATAAAGAGTGTGGTTCGGAAGAACGTACGACCGTCGGATAATACCGCGGCCG